TAAAGAGATCAAACATATCTTAGAGAAAACAGTTAAACCCACAAGAAATGACTGAAGTCTCCGCCTTCATGATGCTTTATAGGCCTATTGTACTGCTTATAAGACCCATATAGGAATGTATCCATACCGATTGGTCTATGGCAAAGCCTGTTGAACTGGAATATCGTGCTTATTGGGCTATTAAGGCTATGAACTTTGACTATGATCAAGCCGGTGAGTGTAGGACACTTCAACTTAATGAGTTGGAAGAAATCCGAAATGATGCCTATAAGAATTCAAGGATTTATAAAGCTAAAACTAAATTGGAACACGACAAACAAATTTTAAGAAAGGAGTTTTTCTAAGGCCAAAAGGTTCTTTTATATAACTCCCATCTTGCATTGTTTCCTGGGAAATTGAGGTCACGATGGTCTGGTCCATATTATGTACATTATGTTACTAGTCATGGTGCCATTGAGGTACAAGATCCAAAAACTAGAAAGTTGTTTAAAGTCAATGCCCATCGTTTAAAGCCTTTCTTTGAGCTTGAGGCTCACGTCATTGAGGATAATTTCCACGTCAATCTAATCTATTCGGATTAATCTCTTTTAGGGGCACTTCCCTAGCTCCATAACTGTTTAGTTTTTTTTTTTTTTTAATATGGTTATATTTTGTTTGGGGGTACAATATTTGTTTGATATGATTTTCGATTGTTTTCCATAACCTCGTTGCAGAATTTGTACGTCCACATCGAAACAAGTGAGGTACTATGTTCCAATGTTTCTCTATATGTCTCCACCTATACTTGTCCAGTTAGTTTCCATATTCTTTGGTGCCAACACTAGGGATAGTGTTGTCTTTTGTTTGGGGGTGGGGCAATAATCTTGCTTTTATGGAAATTATAAGTTTAATTGCATGTCATGTCAAATTTAGGTGAATTATTGTTCATGTATGATTGAGAAATGGTATTTTTAGGCAGTTAGGAATCTTTAATTCATGTTTTGGTATATGTGGTCCACATCAATGTCCAGTTTGACTGTTGTTAATGATAATTAGTCTATAGCGTACTTCACTTCTCACAGATGAACACTAATATATTTTTGTGGGGTATAGGCCTAACCTTATGTGATATATTACATGTATTGGATACGAATTAATAGACCTTGAAAAATAGATGTCCTTGGCATAATGATATAGAAATATGCATGATTAATTAATACCTTTCACGAAGTAACTGGGCATCTTACCTCAATAAGCAATGAGTGTTCTCGTCAAAAAGTAGAGGGTTAGACAAAAGAAAAAAAAAATGAAAGTGTTGGTAATGCTAGTTTAGGTTCGAAGCCTAGTTGACTTGAGTTAATAAGCTCTTTGGGGTGTCTTTACACCTAATGCCCTAAAACTGTCTAGTTAGGAGTCATTAGCCTAAAGCTCATTACATGAGTCATCTACAAAGCTTAAGGAACTTAAACATTGCACAACTTGCCATCTTTGAAAAAACAAAAACAAAACAAAAAAAAAAAAAAAAAAAAAAAAAAAAAAAAAAAGAAGAAAAAGAAAAATTTGCATGCATAATTTAAGTCATGACTTCATGCCTTTGATACTCTAACTTGCAAAGAAATATTAATGAGTTGAAGCTATTGTGATGTAATATAAGGATAAAAGGGTAAAACACATAATTTGATACTAGTTCACTTCAAAAGGAAACTAGAGATTGATTGCTATTGGGAATATGTTGAATTGAACTTTGTGTGGGGACCATAGTATTATTGCATGTAATTAGAGGTTTGGGATTGCTTGAAAATATTAATCTTTCTTATATTTGACATAATAGCTAACTTGATGATGATGTGTATACAATCGTTTCTAATTCCATTGAAATAATTGAGCTAAGTGCAATATGTGTACAATTTTGGATGTTTGTGGGTATCATATCTAGAAACCCTCACAATGTTATAGCTCATCCACTAGGGTAACCTAAGGGTTTAAGGCCTTATTGCATATGGTAAATGCAATCGAAAGTAACCTGCGAAAGTGGCACATTTTTAGTTAAGAGTCAATTAAAGTAACAATTTTGTGAACTTATCTCTATTTACCTTTGTTTGCTAGAGGACTAGCAAAAGCTTGTTTAGGGGTAATTTGATAAGCGCGCAAAACTTGTTATTTTATACTTAATAATAAATGATTAATTAATATTTTTTATTAGATAAATGTTCTTATCCCTTGAAGATGCAAATAAAATTCTCTCTCTTGACAGAGTTTCATTACACTTCAACCATTATTTTTCTTTTTCTTTGCCACTCTTGTCTATTTATAGGCAATTACAAGCATTATTGGGATGTCATAACTGATTTCTTATGCTGGGCTCCCAGCTTCGGGCTTTCTTTTCAATGGGCCTGACTTTGCTGGGTAGATCTCAAAGGTTTGGCCCATTCTGTAGTGCCCCTATGTGGGCTGAAACCAATTGCTTAATCCGACGCTTATTTCGCGAGTCATATCCGGATCGTATCCGACCCATGTCGCCTTTGGTATCCTCAATTGCCCCTATAATTACTCCTTAATAAATTTGGGAGTAATTATCAATGACTGCTAATCATGATTTGACGGCTCAAGGAAATCGCATGGGAAATTGAACAGTTGGATCTAGAACCGATGCCTTGAAACTTGCAAACTCCTCGTTTCCCTAACATCTTGACCTCAGGGCCCACTTTACTTTTATAAACTCCAAAGAAACTCCATTGCCCTTCTTTACTGTCTCTATCTCATTTCGTTGTCAATCACATCGCTACTTGTTATATTTCAAAATAAGTCAAACTTCCTCCGGCGAATACCTGGAAAAGTTTCTTCCTTTTCAGCGATCCCGCAATGTTTCTTTGCAATCTTCAACCTTTGAGGTTAGTTTCATTTCTACTTTTCCTTCTAAAGGCTTCTTTTATTTTCTTGGAATTTCTGTTTACTTTCATCATGTCTATTGATTTGGATGTCATGCGTATGAAACTTCGACTTCCCAGTGATGTGTATCTAATAATGTGTCCTAAGGATGTCAATGTTAGAACTGGTGCCGGTCTTCTTCCCGGCGAGGTTCTGTTTTCCCATCTTTATCTTAACATCATTAGGTTCCCACTGCATCCCTTCTTTAGCTTTGTTTTCAACAAATTGAAAATCTCTCCTTTGCAGGTAAACCAAAATTTTCGTAGGGTTCTATCCACTCTGCTTCCACCAACTTGGTAAAATAATCCGTTGCTAACAGAACGTACTTGTTCTGTGATCTTGCGGTCGGCAGAGGGCCAACCACATCCATCCCCCATTGCGTGAAAGGCCAGGAAGTGGCCATTACGTGCAAATCTTCAGGTGGTTGGTAAAAAAGTGGTCCGAACCTTTGGTATTTATCGCATCTTCTAGAGAATTCTTCTGCATCTCGTGACATGTTCGGCCAAAAATACCCCTGCATCATTACTTTGTGCGCTAAAGACCTCCCCCCTGAATGATTCCCACATACACCTTCATGAATGGTTCGTAATATCTGCCGAGCCTCTGTAGGGGTGACACATTTCGCTGAAGTCCAGAAATAGATCTTCGGTACAACTGGTTATGCATTATGGAATATTTCGCTGAATTTGACTTCATTTTTCGAGCTTCATCCCTTTGTTCAGGCAGAATGCCATCCCGTATATAAGTTATGATCGGATCTATCCAGCTCGATTCATATGGAATGACATTCACCTGCCAAGGATCTGAGCCTGAAGGTTCTTCGAAGATGGATGGGTGGTTCAATATACCTACTGGGATCACCCTTGCCAATATCTCCCCAGAACTCAAAGCACTGCATGCCAACCGATCGGCGTCTTCATTTTGCTCCCTCAGTAACAGTATAAACTTGACATTATCAAAATTTTTAGCCTCGCGCATGACGGCAGAACGGCATGCCTCCATTGTTTCGTCCTTAGTTTCATATTCGCCATTCACTTGCCGAATAACTAATTGTGAGTCACTAAAAGTGGTTAAGTTCCTGACTTTCAGCTCGTTGGCTAACTTGAGCCCCATCAGCAACGCTTCATATTATGTTTCATTATTAGTGGCTTGGAATTCAAGTCTGAGCGCTTGACTTAAGAATGTGCCTTCTGGTGTCTGTAGTTTGATCCCAATGCCTGCCCCCATCTGATTTGAGGATCCATCTATGAAAAGTTTCCATGGACAACTGCGAAGGTCTTCCTCCACATCTTCTAAATCACATTCTAGCAAGAAATCAGCAACTGCTTGCCCTCTGATAGCCATTCTGGGTTCATACGTTATGTCAAACGAACTTAACTCTATGGCCCACTTCGTCATTCTCCCAGAGAGGTCTGGCTTATGCAGGATCACTCTGATTGGAAATGCGGTCATAACGACGATAGGATGGGATTCAAAATAATGCCTTAGCTTCCTTTTTGCATTTACGAGCGAGAGTATCACTCATTTGGCCTTTGAGTATCTCCGTTTGGCATCAGTCATTGTTTTGCTGACATAAAACACTGGGTACTGAGCTCCTTCCTTGCAACGGATCAGAACAGCACTCGTCGCAATACTAGATACCCCGAGGTACAAAAATACTTTTCTCCTGGTTCGAGAGTAGACAGGATCGGAGGGCTCTGCATATATTCTTTCAAACTAGTTAGCGCTTGTCACTGTTCATCCCCCCAGGCCTGTCTCCCATGGCTTCGTATGGTATCAAAGAATGGCTTACAGCGATCCGACAGCTTAGAAATAAACCGGCTCAATGCAGCTATCCGACCTGTGAGGGCTTGTACTTCTTTAATTGTCTTTGGTTCAGCATTCTTGGTCAGAGCCTCTGCTTGGGCTGGGCTAGCCTCGATTCCTCTATGATTAACCACGTGTCCTAGGAATTGACCAGAACTTACACCAAATGAGCATTTGGTTGGATAAAGCTTCATTCTATATGTTCTTAATACCTCAAACACATCCTGCAGATGCTTCAAATGGTCAACTCTTCTCTTGCTTTTCACCACCATGTCGTCAATGTAAGCCTATACAGTCTTCCCCATCTGATCCTTGAAAATCTTGCTGATCAGCCTCTGATAAGTTGCCCCAGCATTCTTTAATCCGAACGGCATAACTTTGTAGCAATAGGTCCCTCGTTCGGTTACAAAAGAAATTTTCTCCTCATCAGCGGGGTTCATGAGGATTTGATTGTATCCCGAATAAGCATCCAAGAAAGGTAAACGTTCGTATCCAGTAGTGGCGTCCACCATTTGATCAATCTTTAGCAGCGGGAAACTATCCTTCGGATAAGCTTTGTTTAAATTAGTGAAATCAATGCATACTCGCCACTTCCCATTATTCTTTTGTACAACTACAACATTCGAAAGCCAGTCTGGGTAATATACTTCTCTAATGAATCCCGCATCAAGTAACCTATCAACCTCCTCGGCTATGATCCGATTACGCTTTGGAGCGAATCTTCTCTGCCTCTACCTTGTAGGCTTTGCGTTTGGATTGACGTTGAAGGAGTGGCAAGATGCCGAAGGGCTTATTCCGAGCATGTCTGAGTGGCTTTAAGCGAACACATTAGCATTTCGAGACAAGAAATCAATTAACTCATGCTTCTCTCCTTTGTCGAGTCTTATTCCCACTCTGGTCGTTTGTTCCGGTTTGTTGTGATCGATCTGCACATCAACAAAGGGTTCTTCGGTCAAGTTCCCCAACTCCTCCTCCCTACTTTGGCTGGGTAGAGGTTCCTGTAATTGCTATCTGAGGCTTACAGAATGGATGGGAGCTTTTCCCTTTGCAGTAGATTTTAATGTTACGGAATAACATTCTTTTGCTGCACCTGATTGCCATGAATATCAATCACTTTAGTTCCGTCTGGCCCAGACATCGTATGACTTGATGCATGGTGGAGGGAACACCTTGTACTCTATGAATCCACCCTCTTCCCATCAGGAGGTTGTAAGAGGGGTGGATCTCAACAACAACAAAATTTTCCGTCAGAACTCTTTCCGCAGCTTGTATTTCTACTTCCAACATACCGATGGGTTCCACCCTCTTGCCATCAAATCCTAACAAGGGGTTTCCAGTGGGCTTAAGCTTTTCCGGCTTGATCTCGAGCCAATCAAATGTGTCCCTCGGCATGACATTCGCACTGCTTCCGGGATTAATCAGAATTCTTCGCACCAGGCACTTTGCCACTGTCAAACTGACAACCAACGGATTTTCATAAGGAATTTGAATACGCAGCAGATCTGTCTTGTCGAACTTTATCTGTGTTGATACGCTCTGTTGGTGCAGGGCATTCACATTGCCGATCTTCTTCTTCATTTGTGCTTGACGGAGGCGCGTTCGAAGTAGCTCATCTGACTCCTCGCTAGGTTCGGGCCGACCATGAATTGCATTAATTATACGAATTGGCTGTGAGTTGTGGGAGCTCGACTTCTGATTCCTCTTCACTTGCTCCATCGTCAGTTCTGTTCTACCACTGGGCCTTGAATATAACTCGCGAACTCCTCTCTGGCTATCAGCACCTCTACTTGTCTCCTTAAGTTCCTACATTCATTAGTCTGATGGCCAAAGTCAGAATGGAATGCACAATGCTTAGACTAGTCCCTCTGTTCGAGGGGCTGTCTAATTGGTAAAGGAGATTGGAACTTATCTTTATTTTCTTAGTACAGCCTTGCTAAAGTGACTTTTAATGGAGTAACCAGCTCTTCCTCTTTGGGCCTCTTCTCAAATTTCCCGGAGGTCTGACGCTGTGGCTGAACCTGCTTTTGCCTGATTTTTGCTTTGGTTTTCTTTTCTATTGATATAATGGATGTCTTTCGAGCGTTAGCTGGCTCTTCTTCTTCTAAGCACACAAAACCATCAGCTCTTTCATTGAGTTCATCCATAGTCTTTGGCGTATTCACTACCAAGCTTATGTGGAATGGAGTGCCACGAGTTATGGCCAATTTAAACGCTTGAACCGCTGTAGAAAGATGACATTCAATCACCATGCTCTTAGTAAGGTTAAACCTGGTAAGAAAAGCTTGAAGACGCTCGTCCTCATGCTGCTTCATTGTGAATAGGTTCGAAATGTCCTTTGCTGGACGTTTATTCCCATAGTACTGGCTTATGAATCGATCGCATAAGCTTCGGAAACTATCAATAGAACCCTTCGGTAAATTCTTGAACCAGTTGAGCGCTGGTCCAGCTAAGCTTGTTGAAAAGCACTTACACATTAAGGAGTCGTTCTCTGTGTTCAAAGCCATTTTCAACTGGTCTGATACACATGATCTATCAGATCAGTTGTTCTATCAAACAGAATGAAAACTGGCATGGCAAACTTCTTCGGATTCGGAGCACTCAGAATTTCATCAGTAAATGGTGAGTCAACCATCCGAGCCGCTGATCGGAGGGCTTCAATCTCCTTCTGGAGCTCTACGGTAGCTCTCTGATCTATAGATCTCCTTTCTGAACCTTGATAATCGAACGTAGCCATGAAAGGCCGATAAGAGAGATCGAATGATCTTTCTTCCACAAACTTCTTCTGCCAGATTGGTGTAACCTTGTGGCGTTCGAGCTCCACAGCCTCTTCTCGGTTGAACCTTTCCTGGTATGGATCAAAAGACATGGCCTCGTTTGGCCTGACTTGTTCACGCCGTGGATCCATATGAATTGGTCCTTCACGATCATCTATACAACGAGCAATTGGTGGCAAATCATCTGCCCTAACCTTCATGCGATGAAGGTCTGTCAGATTATTGTCTTCCTGCTCACCGTGGCGTGCAACACCAAATTACATAACGTCCTCGCTGGCTGGTGGTGGTCGCGGAATCACCGAAACCTCCTGACGCTGCATTCCAGCCCTTAACTCTGCATTTTCTCTTCGGAAAGCCTCGATCGTGTTCATCAACTCATCAAGCTTCATATGTTGGACGTTCTCCACTGGATTGGAGTTCTCACCTCCTATCATGATTCCTGACTGGAGCAGAGGCATTAATCGCAAGTTCTTGATCAGATCTGAGCTTTGCTAGTGCAAATTACGTCAGATCTGGATTCAAATCCGCTGAATTCCGTTCACAGTTCACTGGATCTAAGCTTCCTTTAATTCGAACTCGTCAGATCTAGCCGTAATTGAACAAATTACAGCTGCGTAGATTTGATGCCAACACCTCAAAATCAATAGAAATCAAGAGGAACCACTCAGATCTGGAATCTATTTCCAGATATCAAGCTTCGTTTTCACAGATTAATCTGAATCAACATGATGTTGATCAAACATGAATCAATCTTCATCTCCTTCCCACAGACGGTGCCAATTGAAGATGCAAATAAAATTCTCTCTCTATTTTGACAGAGTTTCATTACACTTCAACCATTATTTTTCTTTTTCTTTACCACTCTTGTCTATTTATAAGCAATTATAAGCATTATTGGGATGTCATCACTAATTTCTTATTCTGAACTCCCAGCTTCGGGCGTCCTTCCCAATGAGCCTGACTTTGCTAGGTAGATCTCAGAGGTTTGGCCCATTCTGCAATGCCCCTGTGTGGGCTGAAACCAATTGCTTGATCCGATGCTCCTTTCGTGGGTCATATCCGGATCGTATCCGACCTATATCGCCTTTGGTATCCTCATCCCTACTTTTCATGTTTTATAGGGGCTGATTTCGGAATAAGAAGAAAAGAGACAAAAATAGCAAAAATGTGATATTACAAGATCAATGAAAGTCAAATTCAAATTTAACTTTTCCATCAAATCAGCAAAGATCAAGCCAAATTGGAAAAGATATCATTCGAAATTGGAAAGCACATCAAGTCAAAGATATCAAGCTAGATTGGAAAGCATATAATTCCCAATTGGAAAGCAGCAAGATTTTAGGAAGATTTTATGTTATTTTATTTTATTTTATTTTCACTTCTGTAATTAGAATTTTTCCCTCTCGTTCCATTCTAAACTCTATAAATATGGACATATGTAGATGAGGTTAAATGTACATTGTTAGTGAGATAAAATAATAAAAATTAGAGAATTTTGTCTTCAATTTATTTCTTATAATTTTTGTTATGAAGTTTTCTTATTATGCTAGCTTAAACACCCCTTCTCAAGGGAGTGATGAAGCCATCATGGCTGAAATATAACTAAATTTAGTTTAATTCTTTTATGAAATTTTCTTTTGAATTTGATAAAAAAAAAAAATTAGAAAGAGGATTCTTCGTGTTTGCCAATTAATGGTAATTCGGAGAATGCCTATTTCTATTTACCAAAAAAAAAAAATTTAAATAAAATATATCCTCAAACAATTGTTATTTCACGCTATTATTTTCCTTCATCTTTCTAAGTTGTAATGGGACTGGTGAAGTAATTTGCTTACAATAGAAAAATTTACATAAAGAGAAATATACAAATTTATTTATAGTAAGCTGTGGTGGTGGATTCTTTCCTTGAGATTTTTCTTATTATTTGATCATAATTTATTTCGTCTTATTTATTTATTTTATTTTTAGTTCATTAGTAAAAAAATGATTAAATTTTTAATCATTTTTTATAAAGTGTTCTTCCTTTAATTTTGGTTTTAATTTTGAGTTCAAATCTTGGATGTGTATTCAACCCTACTTATCACTATTTAATTGTTAATTTAGTCTTTACAGGTAAATTTTATTTTTTTTATTTTGTACGAAGCGTAGAAGAGCAACAACATGATTCATAAATGTACGCTCGTCATAAGCCACTTTAATAGCACTTTAATGACATAAAAAAAAAAATATTTTTCTAAAAGTGATTCATAATGATTCATACAATATTATTATAAATAAAAAACAAAAAAATAAAATAAAAAATATGCAGAGTCACACATATACGTACTATTAATAATTTAATAGTATAGATAAGAATATATAATAATTTATACTATTATAAAAGTGTAGAGAATTTATTAACAATTTTGATTTATTTTTTTAGTGTATATACATTTAAACCACTTTAATAACACTTCAATGACATAAAAATATTATTCTAAAATTCATTGACAACACATAATGATTCATACATAATTTATTATTATAATTAAAAAGCAAGAAAAATAAAATAAAATAAACGCATAGTCACACATATATGTACTATTAATTGTATAGATAAGAATATATAAATGTGTATATAAGATGATATTATTGGAAGAAAAAAATATTTATAACAAAAAATTCAATATTCAGTTTTAAATTTTATTAAAACTGTATTATTTTTATTTTGATACTTGAAATCTCCAACCAAGGTATTTCTTAACTCTCTTTTTTTCACTAAACATTAAATCCAATTTCATTAAAAAAAAATATTAGTGGACACTAATTACTTGAATTTCATTTCATTTTGTTAATGGTTGCTTTGTGATTTTCAACCTAAAAAATGTCATTAAAAGTGGACTACAATTTTGATTTATTTTTTTAGTGTATATACATTTAAACCACTTTAATAGTACTTTAATGACATAAAAAAATCTTATTCTAAAAGTGATTCACAACACATAATGATTCATACATAATTTATTATTATAAAGAAAAAATAAGAAAAAAAAAAAAAAAAGCACAGTCACACATTTATGTACTATTAATAGTATAGATAAGAATATATAAATGTATATATGAGATGATATTAATGAAAAAAAAATATTCATAACAAAAAATTAAATATTCAGTTTTATTAAAACTATACTATTTTTATTTTGATACTTGAAATCTCCAAAGTATTTCTTAACTCTCTTTTTTTCACTTTATATTAAAATCCAATTTCATTAAAAAAAAAATATTTGTGGACACTACTTGAATTTCATTTCATTTTTTAATGGTTGATAACCTTTGGGATTTTCAACCTAAAAAAATGTCAATAAAAATGGACTACAAAACGTCCCCTTGGAATTTTCAACCTTAAATTTCATTAAAAGTTTATTATTTTCATGTTTAATACAAAACTTTTGTAACCTTGAAATTTCCAACCTTTAACAGTATTTGATGTCTCTTAAAATTTTAAACAATAACATAAAGGTCTATTATAAAAATAGAGATAAAAATTGCAAGATCAAGCTCCAATATTGAGGGAACAACAAGATTAGAGATCAACAAGAGTATTACAAGTAGAGTTCACAAGAAGTAGTAGTATCAGGGAGCATTTTTCGTCAATTAGCTTTGGTACTGAGGATGAGAATTTATGTGCAACAAACCAAGAGAATCATTTAGATTGGTTAAGTTATTTGCTTGTTTTGAATCCTCTACTCAGTTTAACTTATAGTGATGAATTAGTATTAAATTGTTTTAATATTAGGCGTAGTGATGATCAAAGAATTATTAGGTTTCTTTCAACAAATTAACAATATATTATTAAGTTTTCTTGTATTCATGTTGAAATACTTATTTGAATATTTGTCTTTTGTTGTATTCTTCCGTTGGATTACATGTACCTTCCTCTTTTTTCTTTTTCTTTTTTTTTTTTTCCTAATGAGGACTTGAGTTTGGTTATTCATGTTATCCAAAGCCTTCAATTGTTTTGGTTTTCATTTGATTTGCATTTGTCAATTCAATTTTTAAGACATTTTTGCTTAATCTTCCTTGGTCCCGTTTCTTGGAAAATTTCGATGGTATTTGTATGTCAACTTGTGTCTGTGAGTTTTGGATTGCTATTTTTTCTTTTTTCTTTCTCCAGTGTATTTATTTTCTGAAAGTTTGTTTCGAGAAACTTGATTCCATGAAAGGAAAGTTTTAACAAAAAATGAAAAATATATTATTATTTTCAAATACATTATATGTACCTATTGTTCAAAATATAGAAAAAATGTTTACACCTTATTATGTACGTTAAATCATTTTCCAAAATAAAATAATATCACTATATTTCATAATCCCAAGTTCATACTAAATAATATTATAAATCATTATCTTTATTGAAATAAAAAATAGTGTAAAAATGTAATATAAATCTTATGTTATAAATTTGTTCCTACATTATATGAAATATATTTGTGATGTTAGTTAGTATAATAGTGTAATGTTTTTTTTATCCTAGTTACTTGTAACAGAAACCTATATGTAATACAAAAAGTACATATTTCACATTTCATATTTCATGCAGTACGCATTAAGTAAGTTACTTATAGGAACTACAAAAGGCTTGCAAAATATATGGATCTATATATGACATTACAAAAGACTTCATCTGCTGACTCCTTTCTACGCATCATTTGGGTTCTGGCCTTCATTTGGAGAGGATATGGGGGATGGAA